TAAGACATCCCAGGGGAAGTTACTTTAGAGGCAGTTAGCTGCAAAGCAGTCTCAGAGAGAGTATTACAGCCTGAATCCTGTTGCTGTGGCCAGGCCCTGATGTAAAGAATTGCCAGGAAGCTCAAATCCAGTGTTCTTGGATAACCTAGAGGGATGGGGTGGGGTGGGAGGCTCATGAGGGAGGGGACATGCATATACCTATGGCGGATTCATGCTGATACATGGCAGAAACCAACACAATATCGTAAAGCAATTATTGAAGGATTGCCAGGGAGATAACAATAGAGTTTGAACATGAAGTACAAAGGTAGAAATGAAAGGATGGAGTTGTGCCTGCCAGCCTCTCAAGCCAGGAGCCCTGCTGGAAATGAATTCACTTTCTCTGCTGACCCTGGCCAAGACTGAGCCTGGCGGTGCATGGACTCATCCTTACTACCTCACAGATGAGGAAACTAAGGCTCCGAAAGGCTTGAATGATTTGCCAAAGTTCCCCAGTTTTTTACACCAGGGCTTGTCCCAAAGCTCTTCTCCCTGAGGACACTGTCTTGGCATGGGCAAGACAGTGAATCTGGGTCAGTCCAGGGGGTTAGGACCAGAGCAGGGCTGCCTGGCTGACCTTCAGAGCATCCACTCTAAGCCCCAGTCTGGGTGCTGCTACTGGGCTCAGTTCACAGACCGCACCCTGGAGGCCTGGTGGAGTTGGGGCAGGGTCTGGAGCATCACTCTTTCAGTGATAGTGGGTTGGTCCTTTAGGTAAATCCAGTTGGTCCTTTAGGTGAAATGTTAAATAACTAGTCATTTGTCCACTGCAGTCCCAAGTCATTCCACTTCAGAAAAACACCAAACTCTAACCATAGAGGTTTTACTTTTTTTTTTTTTTTCAGTGGAAGCATCCCTGCCCTCTACCCACTGTGCTGGGCTTTCCAGGTGATGTTGTGGTAAAGAACCCACCTGCCAATGCAGGAGACATAAGAGACATGGGTTTGATCCCTGGGTCGGGAAGATCCCCTGGAGGAGGGCATGGCAGCTCACTCCAGTATTCTTGCCTGGAGAATCCCATGGACCCAGGAGGCTGGCAGGCTGCAGTCCATGGGATCTCAGAGGTTTTACCTTGTATTTTTCAGTGGACACATCCCTGGCCTCTACCCACCAGATGCCAGGAAGCCCTCACACCCAGTGGTGACAACCAAATACATTTCCAGATACTGTCAAATGTCTCCTGTTGGGGGGCGGTGTCAAAATGGAATAAAAAAGAACTGAACGTTTACTGAGCCTCTACTTCTGTGCAACAACGAGGCACAAGGATGGTCAAGACATTTTGTCACGTTATTTGTATAAAGTTTTAGAAACTGAAGTATAGTTGACTTACAACGCTGTGTTAGTTTTTGATGTACAGTATTCAGGTTTATATATTCTTTTTCACACTCTTTTCCATTATAGTGTTTTTACAAGATACTGAATATAGTTCCCTGTGCTATATAGTAGGGTCTTTTTGTTTGTTTTATATACAGTAGTTTATATCTGCTAATCCCAAACTCCTAATTACCTCTACATCTGTGCTGTCCACGATGACAGCCACTAAGCCACATGTGGTTATCGAGCACTTGAAATGTGTCTAGTATGATAGAGGAACTGAATTTTAAAATTTATCTCCGTGAATTTAAATTTTAACACTGGAACACTGTAAAGTATGTTTACTTGTTAAACACAATGTTTATCTTTTTAGGATTAGATTTCATTTTTAACGGCTTAAAATTTAGCATCTGAATTGCAAAGTGCTCTAAGTGTAAAATTCACACCAGATTTCAAAGGCTTAGTGCTAAAAAAGAAAAAATAATGTAACATATCTTTTACTAATAATTTTAAAATATTGATTACATGTTAAAACGATAATACTTTGTAGACACTGGGTTAGTTAAAATATATTAAAATGAATGTCATCTGCTAATTTTTACTTTTTTAACAAATAATTTTAATTTTTTAATAGGCTTTGTTATTTACTTTCTTTAGGTTATGCTCCAAGCCATATGGGATCTTAGTTCCCTGACTAGGGATTGAACCCGTGTTTCTTGCAGTGGAAGTGTGGTCTTAACCACTGGATCCCTAGGGAAGTCCCCTTTTTTCACTTTTTAAAAATTTGACTCTAGAAAATTTCAAACTACATATGTGGCTATGATTCTGCATCTCTTGGAGGTTTTCAACGGGGTGGGGGGGGTGCCTTTGCCCCCAGGGGATATTTGACTGTGTCTGGCAATAAACTTGGTTGTGCTGGTTGGGTAATCAAGTGCTCCTGGCATCTAATGAGTAGAGGCCAGGGATTTGCTAAACATCCTACAATGAACAGAACAGCCTCCCACAACTAAGAACTACCTTTCCCCAAATGTCGCTAGTGCCGAGGCTGAGAAACCCTATCATAGAGCACGAATCCCTTGAAGCAAGGACCAGGAAGTTAGCCCTGAAGAGCGAGGGGAAGCCATCACACAGAGTTCTCACCATGAACTCTGGCCAGCGGTGTCAGTATCCCTGCTCCTCCCCAAGAAGCGAATGGAGCCCAGAGAAGAACAATGCCCAGGTGACCGGGGCAGAAAGTGGCCAAGCTGAGACCTGCACTCACTCTGAAGGCCAGCCTGTCTCCCACCCCACAACCAGGGGCCACAGACCTCTGAGCTGGTGCTGATGTGAAGAGGCTGCTTTTGTTTACAGTCTAACGTTCCCATCACTCAGGCCTGGTCGGTTATTATTCACTTCAGCCGTTACTGCTACCAGGGGATGAGCATTAACAAAAACGCCCTTTGAAAGGGACAGCCCGCTCGAAGAGAAACACTCTTGGACACCTCACCCATCAAACGAAACCGAGAAAGGCATGGAAATAAATGGAACGCAATGAAATAAACCTGTCAGAGAGAGAGCATTCAGATGTCTCAGGAGGCAAGAGGTAAAACAAATGTGCCTGATATGGGGTTGGCTCTGTTTAAAGAAAACATTACGGGACTGCTGACTTGAAAAGGGCCCAGAGAACAATGGCCCGGCAGAAAGGGAGCTGCCCGCATGCCCAGGAGAAGCAGTTTCTTGGTAAATTGGGTGTGGGCACGTGGTAGGAGCCACTCTCCTTGCACTATCACCAGGCGTCCGTCTGCGACTGCCGCCTCCCTGGGGACAAGAGTAAGACGGGGCCAACAACAGGATGGGAGAGGGGACTGACATCTGATGAAGGCTAAGAGAGCAGGGCGCTCTGGAGAGTCACTGAACATAATCTTGAATGGGACTCTGCAGGAGGTGTGACCATCAGTTTTACAAGTTAAACAAGGCTGTGCAACTTGCTTAAGGTCACAGAACTAGGGAGTGGCTGAGATGACATTCTGGGGGTGTTGATGGGGACACACTGGGCTATGGGTTGATGGCAGACACAGAAGTGGGGACAGAACTTGGCTGTCATGAGTGTGGTGGAGGCTCTGCCCAGATCTCCTTTCCTGGGCTGGTGCACTCATCTTCAGCTGTTTAAGATGGAGGTGCTGGCTGCTGAGGTACCCCCTTCCCTGCAGAACTGCCATCAGGCCAAGGAAAGCCTCCCCCAACCACTCCCGGGACGGGGACAGTGGCTGACTGACACAGCGGCACAGATGCTGGTCCCTTGCCGCGAAGGAGGGGCAGCGCTGTGATACAGTCCACACTCCAGAGCCCCCGTGGACTCAGCTGACACCATCTCCACATCCTCCTCTGGCTTCTTCCCCTGCTCTCACCTTCTTTCTTCTGAGAATTCTCATCAATGACTAATCTGCACAAGGATCCCCCATCTCAGGCTCTGTCCAGGGAAACTCAGCCTAAGACAATCACAAACAGAAGAGTTTCTGCGCTTGGGAAGTGGGTGAACCAAAGTGGACCATGAGCCCCTGGATGGCTGGACTCTTGACATCCCTGCCGCATATATTCCCCTCCCCACCCTGACAAACTGACCAGTCAGCGACTAGCAGAGAGGAAGCCACTGTCTGGGCAACAACTTTGAGAGAGGTGCCAAGTAAAAGGTTTGAAATCTCCAAAGAAACCTCCGTCGACCAGAAAGGGCCCCCGCAGTAGAGATCTCTCTGTCGGGAGGGTCTCTGCTGTCTCTGGGGCCCCATGAGGGGCATCAGCCTAAGATGGGCTCTGCATCATGATCTCTGAAGAGTTTATATGAAATGAGAGTGAACTACCATGAGTTAGAGGGAAAGGGCTGGTGTTGACTTCAAACAAATATCCACTCTAGACTGTGGCATTCCCATAGCGACCTTTTTCACATTTACTACCTTATTTCATCTCAGGATACAGTTCCAGAAGCCTGTGTGTGCAGAGTCTATAAGAAAATGGTGTTCCCCCAAAGGGAAGCATTATTATTCTAACTTAACAGATAGGAGGGATGGGACGCATCATACTCAAGTGTGTTGTCCAAGACAAAGGGCAGACAGGGAGTCGGCCAGATCTATTCATTTCCTAAGCACAGACATGTTAAGTCAATTCTCCCCCAACCTCAGACCACAGCTCCGTTATCTCTTCCCCTGGGAATCGTCCCCTGAACTTTAGGTGTACTTGTTGGTTTATTTTGAATACCACATGGCTCTTCTTTGTAGCAAGACTCACACTTGTCATTGTACACACATTTGTGTAGGTGTTTTTTTTTTTTTGGTGGGGGGGATTAACGGTTCTTTCCCTTCCCACAAACTCACAGGAATATGCTTTCTTTTGTTCACCACTGAATATCTCAGGGCCTAGAACAGTGCCTGGCACACAGTAGGTACTTTGTTAGCATTAGTAGAACGGGTGAATGGATGTGTTAGATAGATGGGTGGACGGATGGATGGAGGTAGGGATGGAAGATGGGGAGGGGGCAGGGGGATGGCTGGGTGCATGGGTGGGGTGGAGGGACTGCCAGTTCCTCTCTGGTGCACCTAGCTTGGAGGGACCATTGAGCACGGGCTGCTCTTTACTCCCTTCCCCCCTCCCCAGCCCAGGGCTCTGGTGATCACCTGTGGTGAGGAGGCAGAGTGGAGTCCCCAGGGTCACCTGGGCGCTGCCCATTGGTGCTGACCACAAGGAAGCCAGTCCCCAGGCAGCATGCAGAAGAGAAGGAGAAAAAGAAACAGACATGAACACGCGCGGCACGGTGAGCAAAACTGCAATTCTCATGGCTCTGAAGAGCTCACACTAAACAGCAAAAGAACATCATGATCTAACAAAACAGGGCCTGAAATAGATCTCTAGAGATGAAACAAGGATACGAGTCACCGTTTATCAAGCACCCACGACATGCCAGGGACTCTGCCAGGTACCTTACATACAATGTTTCTGAGACTTAGAACAACCCAGAAAGGTCAGCATTATTATAAATGAGCCATCACCTTTCCACCCAGACATCTTCTCCCCGCTTTCTTAGTGAATGGTGCCACTACCCATGTAGCTACGCCAGCTACAAACCTGGGGTCATCCTTCATCTCTCCTTTCTATTGACCTCCAACTTCTGATCACTTGGCATGCCTTATTAACTCTACTCTAGAAAAGGTTTTGAAGTTTTCCCCTTCCCTCCAATTCAAGCCATCCTCCTGTTTCACTTGGGTTACTGAGGCAGCCCCCTGCTGGACTTTCGGCCTCCATTCCTGTTTCCTTTCAGACTATTCTCTATCCTTCGGTCGGAATGCACCAGTGACCCTGCTGTGCTCCAGATAAATCTCAGATCCCTTCACCCGGTTCCTGCCCCTCCAGGCTCTCCCCACTCCCACCCAAACACAGTAAACTCCTTTCCATCATCAACCATGCCCCCTGCCCCACACCTTCTTGTCAGGAGGCCTTACCTAGGAGGCTCACTTGGTGTGGAAATACCCGCTTCCTGCCTCTTCACCTGGATGAAGACTGTTCATCCTCCAGGTGTCAGCTCAGAACTCCTCTGGGAGTCTCACTGTACAAGGGTCAGAAGCCCCTCCTCTGTCTTCCCTAACACCCTGGTTGTCCCTTCTCAAAGCAATAGCCTCGCTGTATTTTAAGTGGCTGCCTCCCCTGCAATCCTGAGTCTCCTTGAAGGCAGTCACTGTCTCATTTCTAGTGTCCTGGAGGGACCTTGCACTGGATCTGGCACATAGTAGGCACTCAGTGACTATGCTGAATAAATGAATGGAGGAAGGAAGGATGAATCAGACAGTCGATATAACTTGCTGTAGGTCACATGACTATGAACTGGCAGAGGCAGTACTTTGGTTTGTATGACTTTAATGTTTTGTCCTTTTAAATCCACTACTTGCTTCTCTAAAGAAAATGCTACAAAAAGGAAGAAAGGTGTCCTAGGCTTGGTCAAAGGCTGCACGTATTTATCTAGTGGTTCATCAACAAGATCGTATAAAGTCCTTATGCAAAGTTCTTATCCAGAAGTTCTCTCTTATGGAGAGAGGGGCAGGACAACCCAGACCAACTGATAAACAGGAAATACATAGCTCCAAAAATTCACACACATGGCAAACTTTACCAAGAGCTGTGAAATACTACAAAATCTAACCATCAGTCAATAGAAATCATATGTGTATACCTACAGCTGACTCACTTTGCTGTATAGTAGAAACTAGTACTACATAGCAGAGCAACTAAGTCCAATAAAAATTAAAACAAAATAAAGTAGTAATCAGAATATCCCTCTCTCAAAGGTTCGGGAAACTTCACCATTCTCAAACCATATTCCAAGTCCAAATTCAGAAAACTAAAGCTGGTAGGCCAAATCTGCCCACTCACTGTTTTCTGTGTGTCCACCGGCTAAGAATAGTTTTTACAGTTTTTAATGGCCAGGGGAGGGGGGGAAATAAAAGAGGAGTAATGTATTATGACACATGAAAGTTGTACGGAATTGAAACTTCAGTGTCTATAAATAAAGTTTTATTGGAACACGGCCATGCTCATTTTGCATGTATTATCTATGGCTGCTTTTGTGCTACCATGACAAAGATGAGTGGTTGTGACAGGGACCATATGGCCCGAAAAACTGAAAGTAATTATCCGGCCCTTTACAAAAAAGTTTGCCAACTCCTGTTTTAAGTGGATATTTTTATTACATTTCCCCCCACAACCTTCTGAGGTGGGTAAGACAAAGACTGTTGGCCTGACGTCAGAAAAAGACATAGAAGGCTGAGAGAAAAGGTGATTCACACGCTCCTATCTGACCTCTCCGAATAGCTTCCTACCTGTTCTTCCCTGTATCTACTCTTGTCTTTGCCTCAGTCTCCCTTTTCTGACCCATTTTCTAAGGCGTAATAGGGTGGCCTCTGTGACAAAGGCAGTCCTCTAAGCTCGACCCAGAGCTCCCACTATCTCGGGACAATCCCAGTTCCGCGATACGCCATGGGGCTGAGGCAGAGTTCTTGGTGTCCTGGCCGCGCTCAGCCCTCCAACCTCCACTCTCTCTGCTCCCAGCCTCCTCTGGTCACACTGGCGTTCCAGCCATGGTTCCTCTGCCTCGTCCCATTCAAGTTCCACGGCTACCTCTCTCACCACTAGTCACTGGCATGTGCAATTTCCTCAGCTCAGAAGGCTTCCGTGTCTTACTTCCAGCTTTGCTCCATATGATAACTGCTACTCCTCTTTCAAAGCTTCATCTCAGTGACTACATACCTAGGAACCCACAACCTACACTGACTTCTGTTTCTCTTCTCTGTGCTTCCACTGCATCCTGATTTTAGCTGCACCAAAGCCCTTATCTTGGTGGATTGATAGAATTACTACTGGTTGGCTCTCCCACTAGTTACTGCTTGTTGAGTGCTTGTTATTAGCCAGGCATGGCACTGATGCACTAAGTCCATTAGCTCATTAAATTCTTAATTAGACCCATGAAGTTAGTGGTGTTACTGTGATTGTTTCATAGATGGGGAAACCGAGACACACAGCAGTTAAGTACTTTTTCTAGTCTAGAGTCAAAGACTGTCCAAATCTAAAGTTCTTAACCTCTATGGGAAGAGGGACCACATACCAATATTAAGTGACACTCAAAACTAAATGGATAAATGACATTCTAGCTTCAGTTCAGTTCAGTCGCTCAGTCATGTCCGACTCTTTGCGATCCCATGAACCACAGCACGCCAGGCCTCCCTGTCCATCACCAACTTCTGGAGCCTACCCAAACCCATGACCATCGAGTCAGTGATGCCATCCAACAATCTCATCCTCTGTCATCCCCTTCTCCTCCTGCCTTCAATCTTTCCCAGCATCAGGGTCTTTTCCAATGAGTCAGCTCTTTGCATCAGGTGGCCAGGTATTGGAGTTTCGGCTTCAACATCAGTCCTTCCAAGGAACACCCAGGACTGATCTCCTTTAGGATGGACTGGTTGGATCTCCTTGCAGTCCAAGGGACTCTCAAGAGTCTTCTCCAACACCACAGTTCAAAAGCATCAATTCTTCAGTGCTCAGCTTTCTTTACAGTCCAACTCTCACATCCATACATGACCACTGGGAAAACCATAGCCTTGACTAGATGGACACTTTGTTGGCAAAGTAATGTCTCTGCTTTTTAATATGCTGTCTAGGTTGGTCATAACTTTCCTTCTAAGGAGGGTCTTTTAATTTCATGGCTGCAATCACCATCTGCAGTGATTTTGGAGCCCAGAAAAATAAAGTCAGCCACTGTTTCCACTGTTTCCCCATCTATTTGCCATGAAGTGATGGGACCAGATGCCATGATCTTAATTTTCTGAATGTTGAGCTTTAAGCCAATATTTTCACTCTCCTCTTTCACTTTCATCAAGAGGCTCTTTAGTTCTTCTTCACTTTCTGCCATAAGGGTGGTGTCATCTGCATATCTGAGGTTATTGGTATTTCTCCCGGCAATCTTGATTCCAGTTTGGGCTTCCTTCAGCCCAGCGTTTCTCATGATGTACTCTGCATATAAGTTAAATAAGCAGGGTGACAATATACAGCCTTGATGTACTCCTTTTCCTATTTGGAATCAGTCTGTTGTTCCATGTCCAGTTCTAACTGTTGCTTCCTGAACTGCATGCAGGTTTCTCAAGAGGCAGGTCAAGTGGTCTGGTATTCCCATCTCTTGAAGAATTTTCCACATTATGTTGTGATCCACACAGTCAAAGGCTTTGGCATAGTCAATAAAGCAAGTTTCAATAAAGAGTTTCTGAAACTCTCTTGCTTCTTCAATGATCCAGTGGATGTTGGCAATTTGATATCTGGTTCCTCTGCCTTTTCTAAAACTAGCTTGAACATCTGGAAGTTCATGGTTCACGTATTGCTGAAGCCTGGCTTGGAGAATTTTAAGCATTACTTTACTAGGGTGTGAGATGAGTGCAATTGTGCGGTAGTTTGAGCATTCTTTGGCATTGCGTTTCTTTGGGATTGGAATGAAAACTGACTTTTTCCAGTCCTGTGGCCACTGCTGAGTTTTCCAAATTTGCTGGCATATTGAGTTTAGCATTTTCACAGAATCATCTTTCAGGACTTGAAATAGCTCAACTGGAATTCCATCACCTCCACTAGCTTTGTTCATAGTGATGCTTCCTAAGGCCCACTTGACTTCCCATTCCAGGATGTCTGGCTCTAGGTGAGTGTATTTTTCATTTACTAGCTGTGTCACTTGGAAAATTACACATATCTCTGAGTTTCAATATCTCTACCTATAAAATGGGGGTGATGAAAAAATATTGTATTTGGTCAAAAAGTTTGTTCAGGTTTTTCTGTACAATGTTATAGAAAAACCTGAAGAAACTTTTTAGCTAATCCAAGATCTCATGAAGTTCTTTCAAGGATTAAGTGAAAAACAGTTAAAGCCTTAGTTTGGTTGGCAGACCCAGAGGAATCTCCCTACCCTACCATCCAAGGCTACAACTCTGTCTAGTGGGAATGCTCAGGTACAAGGGGTAGGAACAGAAGTATATCTGGATACTGGGATGGGACAAGGTTTTCCCAGTGGGTGGAGTAGCAGAGCTGATGGATCATTGGTCTTGGCAGGACACAAAAGGAAGAACAATATAAATAGGAGTCATATATTTAGTGCTAGAGATAACTGGCATTTACTGGTGCCTGGCCCATTTACCCTTAGGTATATGAA